TGTGTGTGTGTGTGTGAAAGCGAATGCAAGTGTGTGTGTGTGTGTGTGTGTGTGTGTGTGTGTTTGTGTTCACTGGTTTTAAATGTTCATTTTTGTCACGGGATGTGGTTGGGTGAAACTTTGAAAAAAAAGCAGAAAAAAGTAGGAAGAGAACCTATGGCCCTCCGTCTGTGTTCCAACTGACTGAGGAGGGAGAAATCCAAGAACCTTTTGAAAAAATGGGAGCAAAAAAAGAAAAAGCAAGAGAGTTTAAAAACAACATTAACACAGCTGAGTAATAGATTCACACCTGTACATAAGATGTTAAAAAAGGTGATCACAATACTTTTGTATTTTTGGAGAAAAAAGCATAAAAAATCAGAATGGGAAAAGCCGTGTAGAGAGAAAGATTGCGCCAAGTCATTGAAGGACACTGCCAGATAACTCACAATCTTTTTAATGTCTTACCTGCACTCGGCGAGGTACACCGGCAATCTTCATCGGCTACCCCACCAGCTCACCGTCAAACAGGGAAAAGTCTATTCTATCGTGTCTATGCTTCCATTTTTGTCCAGAGGCGGTAACTTCACACTTCACCACGGTTGTCCTGTGTTAAGTTTCCACCTCTTTCCAAACCATAGAGCTCTGTTCACAACCACCAAGACACGCTATTTAGGATTCATTATTCAGCCTGCAGCCATTTGGATTGGTTAGGATTCATTTTATTTTATTTTTTATGTTTATTTTTTTTTTTTGACAATACAGCAAGCTTTATTTGGACGCAACATCTGGGGACGTACTGTTGCACTAATTGATGAAATATGTCGACAACGTCAAACTATCAAACCGACTGAGAACCTCCTGTAACACCTGATGCAATTCTTTAAAGAAAAAAGGGTGGAGAGTGAAGGGAAGAGGAGAAGAGAGGAAGGAAGGTGGCCAGCTGTTCTGGGATAAGGTGTTGAAAACCGACTAAATTCCACCATTTCCCTTTTCACTGTTCCCCCCCAGTCCTTCCGCAAAATAATAGTATGCTTTCTCCTCGTTTTTTTTTAACCCTTCTGTACTCCAGGAGAAGAGTGAGATGTTTTTATTTCCTTTCTTATAAAAAAAAATCATTTCATTTTTGGAGCGGGCGGGAACATTAGGGTCCCTCGCCCTCTCTTGCGCTGGTCTACATCGTGTTTGTTTTGCTCACTTCTGTTCAAGACCTTTCGATTTTCTTACTTTAACCACCTTTTTTTTTTTTTTTTTACAATCGATGTTTTGACTTTTTGGAAAAATGAAAATAGTTTAATTTGATCATGTTTTGTTTTTTTGTTTTTGAATGCACAAATCTATTAACAAGACAGCTACTAAATACAATGAACTACTAACATGTAGCTCAGTACATGACAGTAACTGTGCCAAACACACAGGAAGGGGCTCAGTCCAAAATGCAGTATAGAGCCATTTTGAGCAAATAGCCTGAGCTCATAGAAAAGGTCTTAAGATAACATCAGTAGTATTTCAGGGTGAAGATTACTACATTCAAATGGTGATATCTCATCTTGGAACTGACCTCTTCTCATCTTGTTTTTGTATGTACAGTATAGACAACACATTGTGTGGTTGATGTGTCTCCACACACGCCATGGATACCGCTCGTCACACAAGAACATCTCACACAAATCTAAGCCTGCATCCCGACCGGGACAGAAATCCTTAGACATTTCTTATGTTTCATCTGGTTTTCATCAGATCTGGATCATTTCTGGGCCCCAAAGCGAACACTCTGTCATTTTTTTTATGCAAGTTGAGTGATGTATTGATAAGTTGTATCGGCTAGGACAGAGTTTGGCAGTGTGAGGTGCACAAAAATCATATAAAGTTGCCACACACAGAAAATGTAAGCATCAAACTCACTTGAGTTTGTTGTATAAAGCTTATTCCAAGATGGCTAAAAGGACTGTACCAGTGCATGTTTTATCCCGTTTTCTATAAATTACTGCTGAGCATTTTCTGAAACATCTTCACTAAACTCCTGAGAAAAATATCTGGCTCTTTGGCTGCTAAATGTCCACTGCGTTCACCAGCAGGTTTCAATGTACAGTGGGTTTTTTAGAGCTATTTAACTGACAACAGCTGCCTTCTGTGGCTGAAACTGAGGTTAAGAGAGCGGTGAACCAAAACATTAAAGCTGCAGGCTGGAAAACCAAAACAGTGAAAGACAGTTGAAAGATGCTAAAACATTCTGTAGAGCCGGTTTGGGTGATAATTATCTGTGCTGTTCTTTGCTGAAATGTTCACCTTATCCTAACAGTATTTCACAGATAATTTGTGAAAACATTAGGTTCCTCTGGCTCGTTCTAGTGTTCCTAATAGAATTTGCAAGAATCCACCGGGCCTGAACTACAGCAACCAATCGGAGCCAAGAAAGATAGCTGGTTGTTGAGTCTCATTCCCAGGGCATCAAATACAGATGCTTTGGGACCCTGGGAATGAGAGTCAGCAGACAACTATCTTCAACCCAAAGCGTCTCTATACCTTTCTTGGCTCCGATTGGTTGTTTTGGTTCAGACCCGGTGGATTCTTGCAAATACCATTAGGAACACTAGGAGGAGCCGGAGGAACCTGATTATTATTTTTTTTTTTCACTGATTATCTGTCTAATGTACTGCTGTCAGAACACAGTAAACAATTAAGCAAATATGACAAAGTTATTTTTATAAATGACCTATTGCAGTTTCTGTAAAGTGACTGGCACAGTGTAAATAAACACATTGAAAGTAATGGAAAAGCCCATTAATCTAAAATGCTACCACATGCTTTAGAAACTGCTCAGCACTAATGTAAAATATATGCAGTATATATGCAGTGAATGGGCTGCAAACTCACTGCTGGTGTCCTTTTATTTAAAGACTGGAAGCTTGGAAATTCTGAGTTTTGGGTAAATGATCTTGCCCAGCTTCTTGTTTGTGGCAGCAGAACACATCTTTGCTTTTTAGACCTTACAACATGTAGCTCAGCCCTGACAGACAGTAAAAAAAACCCTGACAGACGGACAGACGGACAGACTCTAAGCTCTTGCGAGGACAGTTTGCAATAAAACAGTGCAGACTCCTCCTTGTCGTAAACCCCCCTCCCCCCCGTCCCTCAGCAGAGACGGGCTTCGAGTCTTGACAAATCTGAAAGAAAACGGAGACCCGGCAGAGGGACACCCTACCGAGACGAAACAAACAAACCTCTTGACACATAACTAGGAACGCTACCTCAAAACATAAGCAAACTCAGCCAGAAGATTGTTTCTTTTATTTACTTTTATCGCAAACCGACAAGAGCAAACAGTCAGTCAGTCGGACAGACATGCAGACAGAAAGGACGGACAGTCTATGTTACAGTCACAATTTAGTTGTGTTTTTTTCCACTCTTCAACTTTAATTTATTTTTGGGTTTTTTGAAATGTTACCTCTCCAGCTTAGAGATGGGACTGTAAAAATAAACGAGTAAATAAGAAACGACAAAAAAGACAAAAAAACCCAATATGGACACATTGTGGAGCAGGGTGGCGTGGGCAGCCGGGACGAGGATTTTCTTCACGTGGCGGGTAGAATATCGAGTAACCTGATTGGTCCACGTATGGCCCAGTCATAACGAGGTGTTAACTTTCGCTCTGGGAACAGTTTCTGTTAAACTGTCCAAAGCTGATTCTAGTCACTCATTCACTTTGAATCAGAACCTAACACCTAACACAGTTTTTGTTTTATTTCTTTTTACCTGCCTCCGATCGCTAAAATTACCCACAATCCTCCTTCAGCTCCACCCTGCTGCTCCACTTCCCCTCCCTGTGATTTCACCTCCTGAATCAAGGGTCACGACACCTGTAACCATGTAATTGTTTTGTTGATCTACCTCTTGGGAAAAAAATAGGTAATTTTTTTTTTTTCTTCGAAAAAGGACACAAAAATAACAAAAAAAGTTGCTCGAAAGAAATATAGGTAAATGAATAACTGGGTAGCGGCATCTCCATATACTGTAGTGGATAGTCTATTAAAGGAAAAAACTTTTACTTCTTCCAAAGATGATTTTGTTTTCTTTCTCCATTCTTAGTTCTTTTTCGAAGGATTATGAAATTGAATAATAATCTTAAAGGGGGAGACAAAAACTTACCAACTGTTTTAAATTTTCTTCTTTTAAAAAAAAAACCCAACATAAATGAGATTTCTTTATCCAATTTGCATTTTCTTTTGTCAATTTCGTTAACCTTAAACTTTTTTTTAACTTCAAAATATTCTTCATGTTTTATTTTGGTTGACTTCTAATTTTTTTTCTCTCTTTTTTTATGACAGCAGATTGTATCTCTTGTGTTTGGGTGCATTTAGCATTTTCTTTCTCTCTGTGAAAAGCCTACATGAGTTAGAGCGCCCTGCGAGGACCTTCTACACTGATCAATGATCTATTTTCACTTCTAATGAGTCGTTTGAAAAAGCAAAAGGACCTGTTGTTTTAGCTGACTGTGTAGCTGTGGGTGGAAGGAGGAAGGCCTCCCTCGTGCCGCTCCGAGCTGGATGACACGAGACTAATCTGATCTGGGCTC